AGGGTCTGTGGGGTGGTTACAGGGTCTGTGGGGTGGTTACAGGGTCTGTGGGGTCTGTGGGGCCGTTCTGGGGTCTCTGGGCTGTGGGGTCACAGGGGCTGCAGGGGCGGCACCACCTCAGATCCCTGGGCTGCCCCATCCCGAGCTCTGTTCCCACGGGAAATTCCCTGGAGCATTCCCACCCCCATTCCCATTGGGAATTCCCATTGGGAATTGTGTCCCGCAGGGCTCGGTGGTGGTGGAGCGCGTGTGGCCGGTGCCAGATCCCCATTCCCAATCCCCATTCCCAATCCCATTCCCAATTCCCATTGGGAATTCTCTCCCGCAGGGCTCGGTGGTGGTGGAGCGCGTGTGGCCGGTGCCAGATCCCCATTCCCAATTCCCATTCCCAATTCCCATTCCCAATTCCCAATTCCCATTCCCATTGGGATTTCTCTCCCGCAGGGCTCGGTGGTGGTGGAGCGCGTGTGGCCGGTGCCGCTGGCCCGGCTGGGAGCGGCTCCCCGGTTACACCCGCGCCGGCACCGCGTGTTCCGCCTGTTGAGGGACGGGAAGCACCTGCCCCGTTCCCACATGGAGCTGCTCCTGACCCGCTCCGTGCAGGGTGAGCGATCCCGGGAATCCCGGGAATCCCGGGAATCCCCACATTCCCAGCCCTTCCCCTCCTGGTTTTATCCCGTTTTTTCCCTTTCGGTTTTTCCTTTCCCCCCCCACGGAGCTGATTCCAGGAATTCCGCATTCCCTGGAATTCTGGCAGTGAGCCCTTCCCCGGAATCCTGGGAATTCCCGCGTTCCCAACCTTTTCCCAGCCTTTTCCTTCTCGTTTTGTCCCAGTTTTAACTCATCCCTATGGGAATGAGGCAGAATTCCCTCGTTATTCCATTCCCGGTGGCCCAGGGATTCATCCCTTGGTCATGGGAGGATTTGGGATTCCAGAATCCAGGGAAATTTCCCTTCCTGTGGCACCGGGAATATGATTTATTCCCTTTTTTTCCCGATTTCTCCTATTTTTCCTTTATCCATATAGGAAAAAAAGCGGAATTCCCGCATTATCCCATTCCCCTTTCTTCCCATTCCCAGTGATCCGCTGGCACAGGGATGATTTGTGTCCCAAATCCATGGAAATTCCCCTTCCCAACTCAGGAGAGTCCAATCCATTCCTTCCCATTTTATCCCTGGAATTTCTGTTGAATTTCATGGAATTTTATTAATTTCACGTCATTTCCACTGAATTTAATGTATTTTTCTATGAAATTAGTGGAATTTGCATTTAATTTTGTGGAATTTTTGTTTAATTTAATGGAATTTCCATTTAATTTTGTGGAATTTCTTTAATTTTACATAATTTTCACAGAATTTGATGTATTTTTTTATGAGATCCATGCAATTTGCATTTAATTTAATTGAATTTCCGTTTAATCTCATGGAATTTCTGCTTAATTTCATGGAATTTCTGCTTAATCTCATGGAATTTCTGCTGAATTTCATGGAATTTCTGTTTAATCTCATGGAATTTCTGTTTAATTTCATGGAATTTCTGCTGAATTTCATGGAATTTCTGTTTAATCTCATGGAATTTCTGTTTAATTTCATGGAATTTCTGTTTAATTTCATGGAATTTCTGTTTAATCTCATGGAATTTCTGTTTAATCTCATGGAATTTCTGTTTAATCTCATGGAATTTCTGTTTAATTTCATGGAATTTCTGTTTAATTTCATGGAATTTCTGTTTAATCTCATGGAATTTCTGTTTAATCTCATGGAATTTCTGTTTAATCTCATGGAATTTCTGCTTAATTTCATGGAATTTTTATTTAATTTCATGGAATTTCTGCTTAATTTCATGGAATTTTTATTTAATTTCATGGAATTTCCGTTGAATTTCATGGAATTTTTATTTAATCTCGTGGAATTTCCATTTAATCTCATGGAATTTCTGTTGAATTTAATGGAATTTTTGTTTAATCTCCTGGAATTTTTGCGTAATCTCATGGAATTTCCATTTGATTCCATGGAATTTCCGTTTAATTTCATGGAATTTCCATTTAATTTTGTGGAATTTCCATTTAATTTCGTGGAATTTCCATTTAATCTTGTGGAATTTCTGCTGAATTTTATATAATTTCTGTTTAATTTCATGGAATTTCTGTTCAATTTCATGGAATTTCAATGAAATTTGTTGAATTTCCGTTTAGTTTTGTGGAATTTCCGTTTAATTCCGTGGAATTTCTGTTCAATTTCATGGAATTTCTGTTTAATTTAATGGAGTTTCCGTTGAATTTCATGGAATTTTTGTTTAATCTCCTGGAATTTCCGTTGAATCTCACGGAATTTCCATTTAATTTCACTGAATTTTTATTTAATCTCGTGGAATTTCTGTTGAATTTCATGGAATTTCCATTTAATTTCGTGGAATTTCTGTTGAATCTCGTGGAATTTCCGTTGAATTTTATATAATTTCCGTTGAATTTCACGGAATTTTTATTTAATTCCGTGGAATTTCTGTTGAATTTCATGGAATTTCCGTTGAATTTCGTGGAATTTCCATTTAATTTCGTGGAATTTCCGTTGAATCTCGTGGAATTTCCGTTGAATTTCATGGAATTTCTGTTTAATCCCCTGGAATTCCCCTGGAGCTCCGGGATCGTGCCCCCTTTGGGACTCTGTCCCCGTTCCAGTCCCGTGTTTCCCACATTCCCAGCAGGATGTTCCCGTGTTCCCAGCAGGATGTTCCCGTGTTTCCCGCATTCCCAGCAGGATGTTCCCGTGTTTCCAGCAGGATGTTCCCGTGTTTCCGCAGGCGTGGGCCGGCGCGGGGACGTGGTGAGCGTGGGGCAGCGCCTGGGCAGGAACCGGCTCCTCCCGCAGGGCCTGGCCGTGTATCCGTCCCCGGAAAACCTGCGGATGTTCCGGGATCGGGAGAAGGTCAGCGCCTCCCGGACCTTCCGGAACCTTCCGGAACCTCCCTGAAGCTACTGGAACCTTCCAGAACCTTCCCAACCATCCCAAACCTTCCCAAACCTTCCTGAACCTTCCCAGACCTTCCGGAACCTTCCGGAACCTCCCTGAAGCTACTGGAACCTTCCCAACCTTCCCAAACCTTCCGGAACCTTCCTGAACCTTCCCAAACCTTCCTGAACCTTCCCAAACCATCCAGAACCTTCCTGAACCTTCCTGAACCTTCTGGAACCTTCCAAACCTTCCCAACCTTCCTGAACCTTCCAGAACCTTCCAGAACCTTCCCAAACCTTCCCAACCTTCCTGAACCTTCCCAAACCATCCAGAACCTTCCTGAACCTTCCTGAACCTTCTGGAACCTTCCCAACCTTCCCAAACCTTCCCAAACCTTCCCAAACCTTCCCAAACTTTCCCAACCTTCCTGAACCTTCCAGAACCTTCCGGAACCTTCCGGAACCTCCCTGAACCTTCCCAAACCATCCAGAACCTTCTGGAACCTTCCAAACCTTCCTGAACCTTCCCAAATCTTCCCAAACCTTCCTGAAGCTTCCTGAACCTTCCCAAATCTTCCCAAACCTTTCCAAACCTTCCGGAACCTTCCCGAAGCTTCCTGAACCTTCCGGAACCTTCTGGAACCTTCCCGAAAC